TCAATAGAAAACTAAAACGTCAAGTAACGAAGTCTCTCACTTAAAGGAGAGTCAGTGGAAGAGCGTAAAGAATCAAACGATCATCTAATATTTAAAAGCTAAGCCAACAAATCCATTTAAAATCAACTTTCCAATACATTAAACTATATGTACATTCATCCACTTCTATACCAATTCCAAATACCTCGCTGAGAGCCCATTCAGAAATTACCAAACTAAAATTAAGCGCAACAATAAATTTTCACAATATTCGCTCAAATGGCCATGTTGCGCCCACGCACATGTTTTCGTGCCACGCCCAGTGGCCACGTGTAAAGTGCAAAAGCGCAACATCAGCGAAATGGGGTAAATGCCGAGTGCAGCAGGAAAGCGGGCAATCGCAGCGACCAGCGACTAGGGCCAACTGACGGGGCGAGCTAAAGATTATCGTTATTTGTATGCAAAGCAGCAGCCCAAAACCAACAACAACAACAAGAACAACAACAATAGCATTATGCGACAGTGCAAGCCAACTGCCATTCAAAGTCAGACAGGAGCAGGACACAGTATGCAGGAATCCTGACTGCAGATGGCAACTGGCAACTGTCAGACAGAGACGAAAGTCAACAGAGCGAGAGAGAGAGAGAGACGTGTTTCAATTTTTATGACATTTCAATGCAGTTTATGTCAGCGCAACGAGACAACGGGTAAACGAACTGAGAGATGAGTTCCACGATTGGAGCAGCTTGGGCAGCGGGCAGCGGGCAGGGGGCAGGGAACAGCAGACGAAATACCTCGTTATATTTTTTGACAATTCAAATTTTAGCTTGAGGCCAAGCCATGGTATGTGCAACATATTTTCGTTGGACACTTTGCAAGTCAATTGAACAACAATTTTCTAGAAAATAATAATGAAAGAATTGCTTGTGATATACAAAGAAATGAAATGTGAATGAATGCTGTGTGGTATTTGTGGTATTTATAATAGATACATGATGGCAAAGGCTGTGAAAAATGAATGTATGTAGATATTGATAAAAGCAAGGGGTCGCCTACATTGAGCTATTAAACAATATATTCCTTAACTGCAGTAACTTTTCAGATATGCTAACTCAAACAGTTAAAGTGCCTTGCAAGAGCTGGCGCCATTTTAAAGTTTCTGTTTCACTTTCAGTAAAAATTCGCCAATATTATACATAGTTAATGCTCTTGTCTTCTTTCATTTCGCACCTGTCGAAAACACTCAATTGCTGAATGTTTATTTGAAATGATTTGCCGCACACAATCGCCTTTTGTAATATCATAATTCGGTTGAAGTCTGCACTCAATGGGCTCGTTTTGACTCATCGCAGTTTATTCCAACTGTCTACCCCTTTGTGAAATGAAATGAGCGAAAATGTCAGAAACAGCAACGGAAACTCAAATGCTTGCGCTCATCATTTATCATAATTAATCAAGCAGACATAATTCGCATATTGAAGATACAAATTACTTAGAGTAACAATTGCATTACTACAGTCCACTATCTACCTAAGTCTATATATATGTATATGTATGTACATTACAGTAACTCAACCCAAAATAGATGAGTGATTCGACTTAATTTGACTTTCTATATGAGCAGCTGTTTTAGTTGCCAACTAACGTGAGGTGCTCATTAAAAGCGCATTAGCATTGCTTATAATAAGAAATTGTATATATAGAGCTAATGGAATATAGAGAGTGTTTTGGCATTTTAATACATTTCTGAGTGGTATAAATATTGATATAAATACAAGTGACAAAAACTTAATAAACTTCGGGTAAAAGTTGCTTTTAGTTTGCTTCTTTATATATCCTGCAATGAGCTCCACTCATTTTTACATCAAACTCCAATTTAAAATCCAAATACCTGCCATAGTCATTATCTCATTATTTGTTCTACTACCTACTCAATACACTCCGCTTTTCCATTTTCTCAGAGTATCACTTGTAGCATTGAGTCTGGCTTAAGTGTGCCAATAAATCTTGAGCCTAACATGTGCTGAGACTCTCCGTCAGACGTGACTCACATATAGACAAAGCTCAACTAAACACGCTCGAAAGTATGCAACACAATTTTGCGCCGAAAGTTTATATTGAAATGGAGTCGCGCTGCCACCCACCGTTTGCCGCTACCGGCAGCTGGTGATAAATGAACGCATTTGAAGCAGCACAGCGCTGTTGCGGCCATGTTTCAGCTTTTAATAACACAAATTGCAATCGAATATGCGACGCGGCGAGCGCTGAGCTGAAACGCAGTTGGAATGCGAAATGAGCCGCCAATAGAAATGCTAACTCAATTTGTTGCCTTAAATGGCAGCAATAGTTGCACAAAGCATAATTAACTTATGTAAAGAATCGCAAAAAATTAAAGAATCAAATTGAAAAACGGCACAGTTCAACAGCATTGTCAATGGATGGACGGATATCGAGTGCAGACAAGTAAACAACAGCACATCAGCAAATAGTTGCAGTAAATAGACAGAGCTAACAAATTTACACAGCGTCAGCTCAGCTGCCAGATACAGAGACAGAGACAGAGACAGATAGAGAAACAGATAGAGATACAGCTACAAATGGCTGGCTTAATCAAACAGCATTTATATCAGCCTGCAGGTAGCTGTTGCTGCCAAATATGCTGCAACAGAGTACTGGGCAAAACTTCTGTCCTGAACTGGTCAGCAAAATAGCAAATAATAAAATAGCTCGGCAAATGTAAATAAACGTTTCGATGCCACCATTTGCCGCACACAAACAGACACATGTATATGTGTATATATATGTTATATATATGTATATATATGGCTGCTATGACACGTATCTATGACAATATCTGTGGCCCATTGTAGCTGCTGTGTCACATTTCGGAAATTGGAAATTTCGCACTTGCTGATGGCCCGGCAAATGAAGAGCTTGGCAACCAGGTAAATGGCGAGCGAACCTTATCAAACACTACCTTTTGCTGGCATTGTAGTTTGCCATAGCCCTCATTCAGAATACACCCACCTCCAGCTCCAGCTTCAGCTCCAGCTCCGGCTCCAGTTCCAGCTGCTGCTTTGTTGCCTGCAGTTAAGCGCCGCTTTTGGCCAGACCGCACCCGCAGCCCAATTGATTGTCACTTGAGAGCAACAGCAATTGATTGACATCATGTCTTTTGATTTCCCAAGTGTGAACCAATGCACTGAGCTGACACAAAATAAAAAAAAAAAAACCTCAACAACAACAACTATAAACAAAGAAGAAGAAAGTTACGGAACAAAACAATGCAACACAATGCCGTAGCAGTCAAACTGCGTCATTTGTATGCCACATGTGGCTCAACTTGGCAGCAGAGCCCCAGCGATTGCAGTTTGCATAATAATGTAAAAATATCACATAACTTCATTATGGCATCTGCATAGCTGTAAATTGTTTATAAATAAATTTCTGTAGAACAACTAAATCCATTTTTGAGGAGGACTCACATATCAGAAGAGCAGAGCTGTATATAGAGAAAGAGAGGGCAATAGAGTAAAGTCGAGACACAATGCAAAGTAGAGTTCAGCAGAGTGTATAATGGAGTAGAGGGCAATAATTAGTGAAAAATAGTAGAGAATAAAATTTAAATTTCAAGTTTAGTTAGAAATACAAAACTTAAATGTTAAAGTAAAGCCCCAAATAATAAAATATTTTTACTATTATTTATATTATTTATTATTTAAATAGAATAAATATACAGATATATAAAAATTTCTTTAAAAAAGAATCATTTACTTTTTAAATACCCCCCAAATGGTGACAAATAATTTCTGCTTTCAGAATTTGCACGCCAATTGAGTGCTGGGATCTGCCGTTTAGATTACAAAGTCGCATGTGCTGAATTTGATTGTGATGCTAAGCTGATAAACTGATGCAATTTGGCCCAGATACAAATCAACGGCCAACTGTTGCACGATGCGTTTTTCCTTCAGCTGCAAATCGCTCGATGAGCGCGCAAATTCAATAAATTATGTTTCAATTTGCGAGGCAGGACTAGATGTTCCTCGATAATAGAGAGAGAAATTGCAATAAAAAACGGTTGAAATGAAAGAGAAGTACATATTATAGGAAATGAAAAATATAATTAAATTTTAAATTGCAATTTAAGCCGCTTAGCAGCAAAATGCGAATGTTTGCCGTGCTTAAACTCCATTTGCCGTATGCTCAAAGCACAAGGAATTTTCACTTTTCCCAAATGCAAACAGAATCTTTTAATGCTTTTTCAAGCCATGAAGATATGTATATATGTATGTATGTATATATATATATATATATATATATATATATATATATATATATATAT